CCAGTAGTGGAGTTATTGATAATTTAGGTTTAAAAAAGAGTTATTGAGAATTGGGACTAAATTGATAATTAAGGTCCAAATTAATAAAAATTAAATTTAAGGAACCGAGTCAATAAAAAAATAATTTTGAGAGACTTAAAGTTACAGTGTCCTTAAAATTTTCTTCCCACAATTTCATATATAAAAAAATGTTTCTTCCCACAAAAAAAATCTCGTGAGCCCTGTTGATAAATTATGAATAGTATAACTTATTTTTTCTAATGAGATCGATATTTAGTTCAATAAATACAAAGTATGACTTATTATTTCTGCCTAGACATATGGAGGCTTTTAATTCTCACTATGTCGAGGTCTTTACCGTAATAATATCTATAAGAAAAATATAAGAAATTATCATTTATTTCTTTTTTCTTAGATAATAACATTTTTATTATTACAAAATAAAATCAATAATACTCTCTCCATTAAAAAATGTAAGACATTATTTTAGGAGTTAAATATTTAAAAATATAAGAGATTTAAGTCTTTTGCTGTGTAATCATTGCCTTTTTTTTTTTAACAGTGCCTCTATTGATAATGTAACACACAAAATTTTTTTTTTAAAATAATTTAACTCAACCATAGTTGAGTTACAGCCACCCACACATTTTTATATCAATAATTTCGATATAAAATATTTTATAATTGGCTTCAACTCACACACTATAACATTTCAGATAAATTTTTACCTCCCACATGCCATTAGGCTAAATCACATTTGTCCATCCTTACACTCCCAACAAGTAAACTAAATCACATTTGTCCATCCTTATCTCCCAACAAGTAAAATAAGCAATTTAGTCAATTTTTAACACAAGCCAGTTATTTGGCCTTATAATCATGCCATTTTAACCAATCCAAAGTAAACCAAATATTAAAATTACAGTCATCCAAATTGTACCAAAAATAGAAATAGTTTGAAAGGCATGATTACATTTATATATTCATATAATTGACAATAAACAAAAAGCCCTAATATTGACAATATAACACATTATAATCATAAATTAAATACCCAAAAGAGACAGTGGATCTATACCACTAAGCCTCTGGGACTCCTCCACGTGTCACTCGTGGCTCTTCTCCTGAAAATTGTTAACCACATAATGAGACTCAAAAGTCCCAGTAACCAAAGCCAATTTATGATAGTGTATACAAACAGTTAAGTGTGTACTTATTAAGTGAAAATTAAAAATAATATAATTCCAACAAATATAAGATATTACAATACACACAAACAACCATCCTTATATCCCTCCATTAAAACCTCGAGCCGTAGCCCTCACTCGGTGCTAAATTACCCCGGCCAAAGGTAGATTAGCCCGAGTCCTTACAAGCCACCTATTGAGCTCCAATAGGGGCGTACCACGTGGCACATAAATACAACAATAGTAGCAAGTCTCCCAACACCTCCCACAATAATTAAACAAATTCATAATAATATTGCACAATTATACAATATTACAAAATTCATAATTTTCTCAATAATCACCCAATTAACAAGAAGTAACACTAATCACAAATAAAAGCATGGGTTACCGTGGGCTTTTTCAAAATAAATTATTCCTTAAAATTTCTTTCTCACCACAATTTCACCAGTAATACAATCTACAAATAACATAGTATTTATAAAATATTAGTTTCAATTTTTGAATTAATAAAATAATTTCTAATAATAGAATTAAAATATAACATAATTTCTAATCTCAATCTTAATACAATCTAGAGTCAATACTATTAAGTAAAATTTTTAACTCCTCTTTTAATTATCAATAAACATTAATAATCTAAAAATTAACTTCTAAACTAATTTTTATTATCAAAATTTCTTTTTATTTCATAAATTCGTACTTAAAATACCCAAAAATAAAAATAAGTCTCTAGCTTAGAATCATAATCCTATAGCCATAATAATTCATTTCTCATCCCAAATAATCATCTAAACCTCAATAAATCAACATATATTTCAGATCTAGTCTAGAATTTGATCCATAAGCCACAAATTCAAAGATCACAATAAATTTATACTCTAGAATATTTATTATACTACTAACAACCTCAAAAAACCATATTTATTCAACATAAATTTTATCCTCTCCAGATCTTAAATTTTCTACCACTATAAAATTAGAACCAAAGAAGAAGGATGACTAAGAAAAAATTTTAGAACACTTACTTTAGTCTTAAAAAGCTTAAAATCACATCCTAATTCCTATTAAAAACTCTTACCTTAAAACTCAGATCTCCCACACCGGTGAAACTAGACGCTCTTTCATTCTCAGCTCACGCACATGAAGAATGAAGAAACGAAAGGAAACGGGTGAGTTTTTATAAAAATTCAGTGGGTCTCACACATTTTTTTTTATTCTTTTCGCTCTCTTCTTTCTTCTTCTTCTTTTTTTTATTATTTTATTTTACTATTGTTACTATTGAGGCGGCGGCTGAAAGCATTCACGTTTCTTCCTTCTTCTTTTCTTTTGCAAACCTTTCCTTTTTTTTTTATTATAATAATAATTTAATAATATTTTTTTTAATTTTTTTAATTATTTTTTAATTTTTTTTT